CCCCAAGCTAAAGATAGGCCTATCAGAAGAACTACTCTCAATTTCAACTCAAACTGAAAAGTCATACAATTGTAACCATACCTTCCCAAAATCCTGGCAAGCCTATGCGTGGGGGGCATGGGTGTCCTAAGGAGAAGCCTTGCAGAAAACCCCCTGGGGTGTGTTCTTGCAATAACCAACAGCGGGCTCTCCTAAATCACAGTCAAAAAGCAGTGTGTTTGTGTGTGTGTGTGAAAATGAGGATTGAACAGTTACCTCCACACGCGTTCTTCAACTGTTTTATTTTATTTATTTATTTTTGGTCTGGCTATAAAAAAAGAAAAAAAAAGGTTGCATCAAAGCACTCCACATGCAATACCTTGGGGTGTCCACGTTTCAAAGTGTGTATCCTTTCGTGGCGATCTATAAAACTGGGCTCTGTGATAAGCCCCAAGCTAAAGATAGGCCTATCAGAAGAACTACTCTCAATTTCAACTCAAACTGAAAAGTCATACAATTGTAACCATACCTTCCCAAAATCCTGGCGAGCCTATGCGTGGGGGGCATGGGTGTCCTAAGGAGAAGCCTTGCAGAAAACCCCCTGGGGTGTGTTCTTGCAATAACCAACAGCGTGCTCTCCTAAATCACAGTCAAAAAGCAGTGTGTTTGTGTGTGTGTGTGAAAATGAGGATTGAACAGTTACCTCCACACGCGTTCTTCAACTGTTTTATTTTATTTATTTATTTTTGGTCTGGCTATAAAAAAAGAAAAAAAGGTTGCATCAAAGCACTCCACATGCAATACCTTGGGGTGTCCACGTTTCAAAGTGTGTATCCTTTCGTGGCGATCTATAAAACTGGGCTCTGTGATAAGCCCCAAGCTAAAGATAGGCCTATCAGAAGAACTACTCTCAATTTCAACTCAAACTGAAAAGTCATACAATTGTAACCATACCTTCCCAAAATCCTGGCGAGCCTATGCGTGGGGGGCATGGGTGTCCTAAGGAGAAGCCTTGCAGAAAACCCCCTGGGGTGTGTTCTTGCAATAACCAACAGCGTGCTCTCCTAAATCACAGTCAAAAAGCAGTGTGTTTGTGTGTGTGTGTGAAAATGAGGATTGAACAGTTACCTCCACACGCGTTCTTTAACTGTTTTATTTTATTTATTTATTTTTGGTCTGGCTATAAAAAAAAGAAAAAAAGGTTGCATCAAAGCACTCCACATGCAATACCTTGGGGTGTCCACGTTTCAAAGTGTGTATCCTTTCGTGGCGATCTATAAAACTGGGCTCTGTGATAAGCCCCAAGCTAAAGATAGGCCTATCAGAAGAACTACTCTCAATTTCAACTCAAACTGAAAAGTCATACAATTGTAACCATACCTTCCCAAAATCCTGGCGAGCCTATGCGTGGGGGGCATGGGTGTCCTAAGGAGAAGCCTTGCAGAAAACCCCCTGGGGTGTGTTCTTGCAATAACCAACAGCGGCTCTCCTAAATCACAGTCAAAAAGCAGTGTGTGTGTGTGTGTGTGTGAAAATGAGGATTGAACAGTTACCTCCACACGCGTTCTTCAACTGTTTTATTTTATTTATTTATTTTTGGTCTGGCTATAAAAAAAGAAAAAAAGGTTGCATCAAAGCACTCCACATGCAATACCTTGGGGTGTCCACGTTTCAAAGTGTGTATCCTTTCGTGGCGATCTATAAAACTGGGCTCTGTGATAAGCCCCAAGCTAAAGATAGGCCTATCAGAAGAACTACTCTCAATTTCAACTCAAACTGAAAAGTCATACAATTGTAACCATACCTTCCCAAAATCCTGGCGAGCCTATGCGTGGGGGGCATGGGTGTCCTAAGGAGAAGCCTTGCAGAAAACCCCCTGGGGTGTGTTCTTGCAATAACCAACAGCGGGCTCTCCTAAATCACAGTCAAAAAGCAGTGTGTTGTGTGTGTGTGTGAAAATGAGGATTGAACAGTTACCTCCACACGCGTTCTTCAACTGTTTTATTTTATTTATTTATTTTTGGTCTGGCTATAAAAAAAGAAAAAAAGGTTGCATCAAAGCACTCCACATGCAATACCTTGGGGTGTCCACGTTTCAAAGTGTGTATCCTTTCGTGGCGATCTATAAAACTGGGCTCTGTGATAAGCCCCAAGCTAAAGATAGGCCTATCAGAAGAACTACTCTCAATTTCAACTCAAACTGAAAAGTCATACAATTGTAACCATACCTTCCCAAAATCCTGGCGAGCCTATGCGTGGGGGGCATGGGTGTCCTAAGGAGAAGCCTTGCAGAAAACCCCCTGGGGTGTGTTCTTGCAATAACCAACAGCGGGCTCTCCTAAATCACAGTCAAAAAGCAGTGTGTTTGTGTGTGTGTGTGAAAATGAGGATTGAACAGTTACCTCCACAAGCGTTCTTCAACTACTGCAGGGTGTCAACTTTTCAAATACATGCACGCTCATGTCAAGAAAATACATTGGGATATCTGATAAGTCCCCCATAAGGTAGATCGGCAAAGAAGATATGTACAATTTGAAAAACGCATATCAGACATTTTGCTTTGCATCCCCCAGTGAACCCGACAAACATATGCATGCGTGGTATCGCTGTACCCGGGAGATGTTGCCGAGCACATATTGGGGTGTCCTTTGGCAGGAACACCTAACAGGAGGTTAGAATTTATGCTCAAAGTAGAATGTGTGGGTGAAAAAGTGAACATGAATGTGTGAGTGAAAAAGGACATCACAAAAACGTTTGACAGAGACTGGTGGTAGAATAAGTGCATGTAAAGTTTTGAAATGCCACCATGTGAAATGCCCTAGGCTGTGTACTTTTCCAAAACATACGGTTTGACGGAGGTGAATTACATTGGCTGGCTTCAGAAATGTTCCAACTGGGACATGGGGGCATGATGGCCAGCTGTGTTTTATGTCTCATCATATTTCACTTTTTTTATTCTAGTAAATCATATGATATGATGAAAATAATGGTATCTTTAGAATGAACATTTAATAGTGAGGTAAACGGTATACAATATGTGTGGGCACAGTAAATATATAAGAGGCAAATACATCTAAACACAGCCACTGCAGAAAAAGAGCCCTGGTCCTTAACGGTAATACAATTGAAAAATTGCCTGGTCACTAAGGGGTTAAATGAAAGAAATCCACAATTTTTATTATTTGAATTCAAACTATTTTGATAACTTCTATTTTTTTTCTTCCCAACTGGAAAACACAAGACGAGATGCCCTACTTGTAGTTTTGAATAACTTTTGAGAAACTGCATTACTATGTCCACATCTTTTTTGGGGGGCTGTTGCTTGCTAGCCACATAATTATTCGATGGCTTTGTTTCTAATGTGCTTGTATTATAGGGTTACACATGCAGGTGTCTGGTTCTGGGGTCTGGGAATGTGTACCCTAGGGTCAAAGGGTAGTTTAGGTTCTGTAAAAGAACCATAATGTTGTGTTTAATGTTTTTTGTACTGTGTGTTTCTTACTTGGGTGGATGGCGCAAGCTCCCTGAAACTTTATTAAGACCAATAAAAGATGATTAGAATGCTTTCCTTGAATGCACAATGCCTGAATAAACCAAAAGCGATCAACCCTGATTGAGCTTATACGAAAAGAAAATGTCCAATTATGCTTTATTCAGGAAATCCACTGGGTAAAATCAGAAAGAAATTTGTTTATGAGGAAACAAATGGCCCACCTAATTAAACTCCATCACAAGCAGGTAAAAGAAGAGGGGTGGCCATTTGGATCAGGAGAGAAATTGAATGTGAACTTATCAATAAAGATAAAAAAAAAAATGATTCCCAGGAAAGGTACATAATACTTATTTGTAAATTAGACAATATTCTGTACACGCTTGTGAATATCTATGGGCCGAATACGAGTCAAATATTTTTTATACAATATTGTGATGGGCCGCCTGGCACCTCGACTGGGTGCCTCCACCAATCGATGCTTCCTAGCTGACACTGATGACCATAAGCACCACACTAGACACCATAAGCACTGTAGACCCAACGAATTGCCGCAGCTTGGTTGGGGTTACGCCGTCCTCCAAGCTGGTGGACCAGTTGGTGGACCTCTCCTCCTCCAGAGAGTATAGCAAAAAAAATTACATATGATTGGCAATGTCACTATTGGCATAAAACCTGAATTTCCTTTATTACCTTTGAATGGGTGATGCTAAATAAAAAACAATCCCTGATTACATTTCACTGCTAAAATATTAATAGCTAGAAAATGGGGCAAAACAGATGGGATTCAGCGGCTACAAATAAAAGAACAGATACTCTTTCAATGCAGCATGGAACAGGGGTTGTATTGGACAAGTGCTAAGGCCAGACAAGAAGGCAGTATCCTTAAAGATTGGCAAAGCATCATTGCAAGTAATATCAGAAGTCAGTAACCTTATATAAAAATAGATTTCTTCTGCATTAGGAATGAGGGATTTCTCGTGTCCATCCTGGTACAAATGGGGGTGATGATGTGTCATGTTAAATAGAGTGTCATGTTATATATGTATATGAGTTTTTAAGATGAAGCAAATCAACACATTTTTTTATATAATGATATATTGAAAATGTCACTTAGAACTCATATGTGTTTGTTATTTAAATGTGAAAAAAATTTAATGAAAGATTATTGAAACAAACAAAAAAGAAGGAGCTTCTCTTATGTTTACCGAGCTCAGCTTTACAGTGCAGCTAGCTCATTGGTTGAGAATGTCAGCTGCCTGTAGGTAAGAAGTCTAAACAGGACACGACAGGCATCATAACAACTGCAGCATTATTTAGTAGTTATGGTGCTGGGAGTTTTCCTTTAAGGATTCCTTTCCATTTTTCAGATTCCTTTCCACTTACACTTTACATTGTAATGCCACAAGTCACTTCGGCTGTTCATGTTATAGTTCCAGTTGTATAATGCATTGAACCATTACCTTTCTTCACAGGTTCTGTAGTAAGTAAAGAATATTCCACTGGCTGTGCTTCAGTGCACTACTGTTTCTTGAAGACAATCTTTTTAATTGTGGCTGGGACATCATTCAAAGGTGGTTCCCGTTCAGAAATTACATGTGTAATGGCTGAAAATATAAGTCCTCTTCCAGTGGGTAAGTTATTTTGCTTTAATATCAATTAGTCAACCAGGGTTGGATCTAGAGCCTAATCTCGGGAGGGACACTGCTACATTATTTTTAAAGGAACAATCCAGGCACAATAACTACTACAGCTGTCTGTTGCTTTTATGGTGCAAGGAGTGCAAGTAGTCAGACCAGTTTTACAACTTACCTTGGGTTTGCCAGTATAGGGGCTGTAGTAAGGGATAGGGCCTCTAGCAGGAGATAGGGGCAGTAATGTGTGTGTGTGTGGCGTGCAATATGTCTTAGTGGTCAAGTGTGTGTGTGTGTGTGTAAGGGGTCTAGTGTGTGTGTGTGTGTGTGTGTGTGTGTGAGGGGTGCAGTGTGTGTGTGTGTGGTGCAGTATGTATAAGTGGTGCAGTGTGTGTGTGTGTGAGGGGTGCAGAGAGTGTGTGAGGGGTGCAGTGTGTGTGAGAGGTACAGTGTAGGTGTGTGGGGTGCAGTTTGTGTGGATGTGAGGGATGCAGTGTGTGTGTAAGGGGTGCAATGTCTGTGTAGGGGCAGAGTGTGTAAGGGGTAAAGTGTGTGTGTATGAGGAGTGCAGTTTGTGTGTGTGTGAGGGGTTCAGTGTGTGTGTGAAGGTTGCAGTGTGAGCATGTAAGGTGTGCAGTGTGTGAGGTGTGAGGGGAGAGTGTGAGAGTGCAGAGAGCGTGTGAGGGGTGCAGAGTGTGTAAGTGGTGGTGTGTGAATGGGGGCAGATAGAAGCAAATATATGTTTGTTTTATTAAAATAAATATACTTTATTTTCCCACTTCCTTTCACCTTTGCCAAGGGAGGGGGGACATTGCCAGCAAGCTCAGTTTTTCCTAGTTGCTTTACTGCAGCTGTAGTTTACTCTCGCGAGATCTGGAGAGTTGCCATGGTAATCGCTGCAATGGTCCAACCTCGCAAGAGGAACCAGGCAGAGCTGCAGGGTAGAGTTGCCGGGTCCTCTCTCCTTTCCCTACCGGCTGCTGCATTTCAGTGACAACAGGCCAGTGAGGGAGATCTCTGATCTCTCCTTCGGTCTGCAGGGCCAGCACTTAAGGGAGAGCATGGGAGATCCTCAGCACTTTACTGTTTTCTTCTGGAGGGGAGGGGAATTGCCAACACCTGGATCCACCACTGTAGTCAACAAAGTGAATTTTGGTGACCCTGTCCTAAAGCCTCACTCCCATCTCTTCCCAATTTCATCACTTAGCATGCATTTGGCACACTCTTACAGACAGTATCAAAAAATCCCAGGACCTTCCTCTACTAAAACCCAGCCCTACCTCTACTAAACAGACACACACAGGGACTTCATCAGGGTAAAAATCAGACAGTTTTAAAAGCAATCATAAAGTGCATTTATTCCACCTCCCCCCAAAAGTCATTAAATATCTTTTTTCTGGCATGTGTGCCTCTTCAGATAGTTCCTTTGTTCTCCATTCAGGTGTTCTCAATAACCTTTTCTTTGCTTCCTTGTTCCGGTTTTCTGACGTCATCACGTGGTAGCGCCATGCGGTTTACATGTGTGTTCCATTGTTATTTATCCAGATCTTCCGGTAGTGTGGAGCTGGATGCGTTTCACTAGCGTTTCATTCAGTTGGTCTTTGGTTATTCCGGCTCCATGCATATTCAATGTCCATGAATTCATTGAGATATATATTGTAAGAAAGAGGAGGGGGTGTGGAAATATGTCGAATTATTCAATCATAATATATTCACATACAAATAAAACAAGTTTTTTCCATATAATGAAAAAAATGAATGAAAATATGTGAAACCCATTTTTAAAACCTTTAAATGAACAAGAAAATACTTTTCACACTCCTCCCCTTCTTACCTGGAGTACCCAAATTATAGTTTTAACTTTTTATGATTTGATAGTTGACCATAAACTTAGTCCTTTGCGTGTAAAGGAATTTCCTATATGTATCACCAGGATACTACTAGTGAGTATATAAAATTCTTAATTCTTGATTTATGGACATCCAGATAAAAAGCAGAGGGCACGTTCCATAACATCATATGTTTCGTTATAATTCCCCAAATGTGAAACCATGTATAAGAAAATAGATGGAAAATGGAGAGAAGATGGAAAGTGTGGTTGAGTATACAAACGTGTTAAAAAAATAAAATAATAATCAATGAAAAAAGAAATAAAATGAAATAAAAATAAAAGAATATAAAAAATATATGCAAAAAAATCTTGTACATAAAAAACCTTACTATAGAGGACATTCTTTTACCATTTCCATATGGTATAGTTAATCTAAAAAATACCATAGATCAATGTCTATGTTTAGTCCCCCTGGTTGTAGAGTCTTCCGGGTATTTATCCAATACATTTCTCGCTGTGCTAATTTTTTGATTATATTTCATCCCCTCCAGTGGTTCTCCATTTGATCCAAACCAATAATAAAAAAAAATCTTTCCAATTGAATTTTGGACACATATTACAGTGTACGGGGACTATGTGCTTTTTTAAAATGTCTTCTAATATTGTTTTGATGTTGTAAAATGTGTTCTTTTAATTTTCTACAGGTTCTGCTTACATACTGTTTGCCACATGGGCAGTAGAGCAGATAAACTACATTTTTGGTTTCACAGTTGATATTGGATTCTATAAAAAAAAAAAAGAAATTCTAGTTATTGTACTTTGAAATTGTTTCACCTTTAGAAACCTTTGCGTTCTACATGCTTTGCACTTCTTACAAGAATAAAAACCTTTGTTATTCTTCCTCAAAGTGCTTTTTTGTGCATGCTTAAGTGCCTCACTTGGTGCCAGGATACTTTTAAAATGTTTTGCTTTTCTGAAAATCACAGGTGCTTTACCCGGGAGAACCTTGCCTAACATTGGGTCTCTTAATAATATTTTCCAGTGGTTATTCAGAATAGTTCTTATTTTTTGATGTTGTACATTATATTGAGCTATGAAAGCGTATTTATAAGCATTATTTTTTTCCTTACCTTTCTTCTTATTATTACTTATTAGATCGCTTCTATTTACATATTTTTGGGGGGCTTCCCTCTCTAGTGTTTTTTTCTCATATTTTTTTTATATGAGTTTATCACATAAATGTTTCGCCTGTTGTTGGTAATCAGAGTCATTTGAACAGTTTCTACGAACACGGATCAAGTGGATTTTAGGTATAGATTCTAGCCAGTTTTTGTGGTGACAGCTTATATTACACCATCCCAGCTATCAATCAAATAGCCAAGACAGTGGTGCCCTCCCTGAAGCCTTTATTTCTTATAGTAAAGCATTGGATAAAATGTTTCTCTATGAGAAGTATTGCAGGCCCATGAAGCAATGGCCACACAGTATGGTGATGTCAACGCATGCACCCTCCATGCCAATCCTTCTATAAGTCATGCTTCTCTAAGTTCTCCCCGGAGAGGGACTGTCTCGCCTCTGGATTAGAGATAAGTTAATCATTTATTAATAGGAAATGGGGGGCAGAATGAGTGTAGGAGATACCACAACAATCCAGTGTTATAAATAAGCATATGTATTTAATGTGTCAATGAGTGTTTCTTGAGTAAGCAGTTACTTAAAACCAAACTATAAAAAATGGTAGACAACATTTCTTAACATTCTATGGCTTAATTTCTTTATCTTCTTGTTCTGTATTGAGAACGTGACCTGTTTTGCTATCGGTGCAATGAACCGACAGGAAAGAACTGCTTTACCAATGTTACAATGTGCTCTGCTGAGCAGAACATCTGTCTTTCAACAATCACACAGACTATCTATGGTAGGTTTCAAAATGATCAATTCAAGCTCCAATTCATATTAACTAATTATGTGTATGCATACATGTGTTCATTAAAATTTGTGTAGGAAAATATGTGCGTGTGTTCCGGTGAGTTTGTGAGCTGTTTCTTGATTAACTACTTTCATAATTTTATCTAATAAAGCAGAGCAAACCATAAGGATGCCCACTATTTAAAGCTCTCTACATGCCCATAGTATGTTAAATGTCTCAAAATGAGGATGTTAAATGTCTCCTTTATCCTGGTAAACTATGATCATTTATATACTGGATTCTTTGGTCTAATTCTCTCTATCTTCAAGCCAAGGTAAGAATTACCAGAATCAGGAATAGTCAAATGAGCCAGAGTCAGAAACCAAAAAATCAATAACTTAGGGAACACACTGTCGGGTATACAAAATCCCTGACAGGCAAGTAATAAAGGACAGCCAGGAATAATTGTTTTTTTGGTGTCATAAATGTCCTCTATCGAGCACACAGACATCATTAATAGGCACAATAACTTTAAATATAAATATTAGAATGGGAAAGCATTCCTTAACATTAATGACATCAGAATGACGCACCAAAGCACTATGTAAGTGAGAACGACGTTGCATATGCACCGTAATGAGAAAGAGATGTCTTCGCTCTGATACCCGCAACTGAGTGGTGCCACGAGGGACCAGGTATCATTACATTACCTTTGTAAAATTTTCTAAGATGCAGCCTACTAGATGATCCAAAATAGATTGGAGGAGGCTGAAGAGGAATTTAAGATTTCTATTCTCACTGATATGTTGTATCTGACTTGGGATAAACTACCATACAAATCTGCTTCTATTGTCACTTGTCCTTTATTTCTTGTTAAAGATGTATTTTCTGTTTCCAGAAGCCAAAAAACTTACAGAAAGTACAAAGAGATGTGGGAAAACCAGTGATTGCAACAAGCCTGAATTTATTAGAACCAAACATAAAATCATATTAAAAAACAGTACCTGCTGTGACAGTGACTATTGTGACACCTCAGTATCTACTTGTGAGTACTCACAATTCTTTGTCTAATTAATGTTAGGTGAATAATACAACATGTTTAGATACGTAAAATTATGTTTTAATTAAATAGTGTGTTATAGTTATATTTTACCATGCTGATACTTGTCATGAATCAAGATTATATACAGATCATTTTTACTAAAATTATCTTGAGTTTGAAAAGACAATATATACCCATTAATTCAGTTGTAAGCTTTTCATCTCCCAGTTTATTCAACGTCCCTCTCTCATCATCCTATCTGACTCTATTCATATAATCCCATTGCATCTCCAATTCTCTTCTACTTTCTCATCACTCCCTCACTACTCCAATCCCAAATCCTAAACTTATTTTTACATTGTTTGTGTAAGCAGACAAACAGTAGGGAACACATTCCTTGTGCTTCCAAGTCCTACTCATACAGAGATTTGTGAATACCATACACAGAAATGAGAAGTGACAAGCAGTGGCAATACCACCACCACCATTGTTTATTGCTGCGTTGTGTTACATAAAAAAAAGGGATTATGATATTAAGCACATGGACACTTTTCTTTGGTGTGCCCCATGGAGCTGCCATTGATGTTTCACCATTGGTACACTAAACTGGCTGTCGCTGGAATCCAGACGCACCCTTCATCTTTCCAGCCTTGTTTTTAAGAGCTTTTCTGGTAAACTCACACCCTACCTGAACAAAATGCTTTCCCCAGCTGTTCCCACTTTCTATAACCTCCGATCCAGTACAAGCACTTTACTTAGTCTACCTCAATACAAAAAGAAAGCGGCCCGATCCTCCTTCTCCTACAGAGCGCCGCAATTGTGGAACGACCTCCCGCACAATTTAAAATCTTCCCTAAGCCTAAAGTCTTTTAAGAGATCCCTCTCTACATACCTCAAAACAGAATGCACGTGTCATGGTTGATTATATATTTCCTGCCTGTTCTATGTTAAATTTTGTATATATTGTGTATTAATATTGTTTTTGTATTTTGTTGTACCTAATGTAACAATGCAATGATTTGTGGACCCAGGACATACTTGAAAACGAGAGAAATCTCAATGTATCTTTCCTGGTAAAATATTTTATAAATAAATAAATAAATAAATTTGTGCCATAATATAGTTTAAAAAAAACTAACCCTTTTCCTCGAAAATAATATATTTTTTAATATATGAAACATGATGAGCCAAAGGATCTTTGTTATAAATTCCTTTATTAAATCGAGATATTATTGAATATAAGTTATATTTATTAATCCATAATTAAAATGGGATTTTTGTTCCAGTGCTACCAATTAGCAATGAAAAAAATGGATTGATCTGTCCTTCCTGTTACGTCAAGAACAATGACACCTGTCTGTCTAAAGAGAATATTGAATGTTTTGGGCATGAAACACAATGTATCAAACATAAATCAGAATGGTCAAAAGGTAAAATATATTGGCATTACGATGCATACAAAAACACTAAAATTGAATACATGCGGGTTGCAAACTATACAGAAGCATGCTTTGCACACGTTTCATATGTATTTTTAGTTGGTAAATTCTATGTAACTGTTCATTTCCACTGCTTATTTATTCTAAGACTATGCATTTACTGTTCAAACACTCATAGAGGAAAAATAAACACTAAAATCAATGGTTCTTAATTATTTATTTTTTGGTTGACTTGGTGTTCACAATTTAAGGGTAAACTCCTGCTTTCAACATAATTGCTGCTCAATAGCTAAAAAGTGTATACATTGGTAAAAATACAATAAAAACAGGTGCTACTATCACCTATGTGGGTCACTCCACCAAACATTTAAAAGTTAATTACAAATAGATAAAAAGTGGTGAGAGCACAGAAAAATAAGTAGATAATAGATTACCACTAAAGCCAAATGGAATCCTGCAATTAAAAACAGGAGACAAACATAGGGTAATATAATACAGATAAAATGTAAAGTAGTGGATAATTAATCACACTCACATATTGCTGAGCCACTTTATGTAAGCTGGCTCAGACTCAAAAAGGGAAAAAAGTTGTGAACATTGGAGGAAAAGACCTGAATAGACATACACTTTGAGAAAGGCTACAACCAAAACACGTCAGTGTACATGTGGTGTTACGTTTTTAATATATTTATTGCTGTATTCCACTTTTGTTTAATAAATTCTTTTGCAAGATCCTGCATCCTGGATTCTGTTACAGGGGAGAGAACAAGGAAGTCTGCAGTATTTTTTTATTTATTTATAATTGCTGCTCAATTATGTCTTAAAAATGAAATTTAACAAATCGACAGGCTATGCATTAGTACAGAAAATATGAAAAGCATGGTAACTTGATGTTTTATGATTGCAAGCTATGAAAGTTGAACAGACAAGTTAAATAATTGACCACAAATAAAAATTATTCACAAAATATCAATAATTCACAAAACATAATAATGGATCAGCTCCTGATATTTATTGACATTAACCCCTTAAGAACTGAGGCAGTTGTGCAAGTTGTGATCAAAACAAAACGTAAACAAAACCTTGAATTTGCGCACGTCTGTTCAGACGTAATTCACATCTTTCATATTATGTGCACCCACACTTATCATAAATCATTTTGTTCAGGAGAAACAGGGCTTTTATATCACATCACATATTTGTATATTAAACATAATTTAATCTGAATAATATATTTAAAAAATGAGAAATTAAGAAATGTTATTTTTTTTAGTTCTGCATGGCATTTTAACTGTAAATGTCACAATACTGTTAGCTGTTACTGCAATAAAGTATTCAGCGATGTCTAAGGAGTAAAACAGTACCCCCAATGTACAGGTTTTATGGTGTTTTGGAAAGTTACAGGGTCAAATATAGCACATTACATTTTCAGTTTATACACACTGAAAGACTGGTTATGTTGCCTTTGAGAGAGTATGGCAGCCCAGGAATGAAAATTACTCCCATGATGGCATACCATTTGCAAAAGTAGACAACCCAATGTATTATAAATGGGATATGTCCAGTCCTTTTATACTAGCCACTTAGTCACAGACACTGGCCAAAGTTAGCATTCATATTTGTTGTGTGTGAAAAATGCAAAAAACTACAATGAATGATAATTTTGGCCAGTGTTTGTGACTAAGTAGCTACTAAAAAAGACTGGACATGCCCCATTTGCAATACCTTTGGCTGTCTACTTTTGCAAATGGTATGCCATCATGGGTGTCATTCTCATTACTGGGCTACCATAAGGTCTCAAATGCAACATAACCAATCTGGCAAATTTCAATGTGAAAAAAAGGAAATGCAACCCTTATGTTTGACTCAGTAACTTTTAAAAACACTATAAAACCTGTACATGGGGGGCACTGTTATACTCTGTAGACTTCGCTGAACACAAATAGCAGTGTTTAAAAATAGTAAAACTTATCACAACCATTATATTGTGAGTGAAAGTACAGTTTGTGTGTGAAAAATGCAAAAAAAAATGCATTTTTACTAAGGATATCAGCATTGTGATATGTTTTACTGTTTTTAAACACTAATTTTTGTGTTCAACGAAGTCTCCCGAGTAAAACAGTACCTCCCATGAACAGGTTTTATGGTGCCCTGGAAAGTTACAGGGTTAAATATAGGGCTTGCATGCCAAATTCTCTGGACTTTCTGCCTGGGTTGTCGGGCAGGACCCTCAGATTTTAATTTATAAAATGACTTAATTATGTAAAAATATTATATAAATATAGAATTAAAAATAATATATATATATACATATATAGATAGATACATATACGTATTTATATATTATTATATAATATTATATATTTTATATATATATATATATATATAGAGAGAGAGAGAGAGAGAGAGAGAGAGAGAGAGAGAAAAATCTACTCATACTTACGGTAATTTTCTTTTCCTGGTCATAGGCCATGGCAGCACAACAATGGGTAGCACCTCCCTATCCTTAATTAGACAGGAACTAATTA